CTTCTCCATGAGGGCCTCGGTGTGGGAAAAACGAAGGGATGGACAGCCCATCCCAAAGCATAGCCAGGCCTGGGAAAATATGGGGATTTACCCTCTGGTAAACTAACATAGCTATTGAAAATGGCCATTTATAGTTAGTTTTCCCATCAAAAATTGTTATTTTCCATAGCTAAGTTAGTTTACCAGAGGGTATATCATGAAGTTGAATGGGCCAAAAAAAAGGAGATCACTAGCCAACTAATTGGAGATTCGAATCTGCTACATCAAGCTTGGAAAATAGGGATTCTGTTCTGGGGATTTACCAAAAATCCAATATGGATTTATATAATGGGAATGCAGTGGTATAATCCCATCCCCCGGTCATTTTTGAAAAACCATGGTGAATGATCCCAAATATGGGTAAATCCGGTACTAAACCATGGTTTCAGGGGTGTGTTTAGTAACTTTAACATGAACGGGGAAGGGATTAAGTGGGCTGGTAGAAAATGTCAACTTGCAAAATTGGAATTAAACCTGACATATTGCATTTTCACTGACTGGGCTGTAGGGAAAAATGGGGGGTTCGCTCACAAAAATATGGGGTTGGACAATCAACATCAGGTTTTTGTTAGAAGTGGGGATGGTTGTCATGTTTGACCAACACTTGAGGAGTGCAAGCAGCCTAAAGAACATTTAAGTAGCCAGAATATGCAAGAATGGGATCCTGCCTAGCAAGCGCGTGAGTATAGCTAAGAACATTTTAGACTATCAACAATCTTCGCAATAAAGGGGATCACCAACTGTGTCTTCATGTACACCCACTACACCATTTTCCATTCATCGTTGGGGGTGAAATCCCTCCATTCACTTGCTCACTCGGGCCCCTGCCAATGCATCAGGCGAGTGCTTCTCCACAGGCCGTGTGGTATAGGTGTTGTACCTGCAACCCTGGTCAGTCCCTTATTCCTGGTTATCCATGTTTATTCCATGTATAACTGGTTGATCACCCCATTGAGCAGTTACTAAGGCGGATCGTCCTCGATTTGTGGGTCCATGTTTAACATTGTTCAATTTCAAAGCGAGCAGGCCTAAATCGCCACACCAACTGGGGGCCCTTTCCCATTTACACCTTTGGTGGTCAAGGCAAGGTGCCAAGGCACCAGTGCCTTGCCTGTGCCCAGGGTGTCATGAGTACTTGAAGTTTAAAATGTTTGGTGGTTCAATGCTACAAACAACCAAAATGTTTGGACTCTGGTTCTTCAATGCCCACTGTGCCACTATCACTGCCTCAAAATCCTCAAGTGTCATTTGATCAACAAGATTTGGTGGAATCCTTTTCAAGGCGGGTGGCGTTCCGACAAATTCCCCAACACGTTTCATGAAATGTTCGAATTCAATTGACAAACAAACTATGAAAAATGCGAATTTCCAATGTTCACTCTCCAAAATGTGCCAAAAAACATCGGTTGAACGTTCAATTTCAATTCTCAAAGAAAAGGATAAGATCCACTTTGAACAAACCATCTCAGGAGGAAAAAACATTTTCATGCCCCCCGGATGACAACCACATCTATTGTTGGGATGGTCGCCTTTGCGGGGGACTATCCCACTATAGCCGGACTATGAAATCCAATTTTGTTAATTACATCACCATTTATACATATTCATTAACCTTTCAATAGGGTTTTACTTGAATCCCATGAAAAATCCCAATATTGATGGTTCTTTATCCCATGAAATGGCTCCAAAATGCAACAAGGATGTTGTTGGGCGAATCGCTGCGCTGCGCCTCGTCACTTGGAAGCCTCGCTTCTCCAGGCCCTTGCCATTAAAGTTGTAATTTGAGTAAGTTTCATGATGCTACCAGTTGTCATAGTAGTTAAAACATGCAAAATCATCAATGAAATTTTGAGGACAAATTAGTGATACCACATAATGATTGATAAAGGACAATGCGAACCACCAGCTGCAAATTCGACAGTTTCAGGACCTGGCGCTTCGCCACTGGAAGATTTTCAAAATCGAGTTCGGGTTGGAAATGGTGAGCATGTTCTTGCCCCACGACAAACTGTGAAGTAGCCATGGGTCGCCCCTTTTTGTGACTAAACTAGTAGGTTAGCAGCCACTGCCATAGGTTTGCTGGGCCAAAGTTGTCAAAAAGTTTGCCTTGGTGTCAGTTTTGTTCAAGTTCACCGTTGTTGGCACATTCCGCGGAGGCCCATGGCGTCTAATATATCTACCGCCTCTCCTGCTAAGGGTTTTCAGCCATCTTGACTTTCCCGTCTTTCCAACAGTGGATATCGATACGTATGCAAAGTAGTCACTGCATCCATCAAGACATACAAACATGCATACATCCATGCATACATACATACACATATGCATATACATATACGTATACGTATACATATACATATACATATATATATATATATATCTACATATATATCCATATATACATATATATATATATCTATATATACATATATATATATATACATATATATCTATATATACATATATATCTATATATACATATATATCTATATATACATATATATCTATATATACATATATATCTATATATACATATATATCTATATTTACATATATATATATACATATATCTACATGTATATGTTTATATTTGTATAATGTTGTATACATATTTGAATATATATATATACATATATACACATAGAAAATACATATATATATATATATATGTGTGTGTGCGTGTGTATTTTTCACTTCTACATACTGCAGCAGTAGCAGACATATGGCTACTTCACACTGTTTTCACAAGCTAAGCTTCCGCATCCATTTCAAGTTCAAAGGCAGCTTGCAGGTCATCCGCTTTTCCAATTTCTGGCAAACCATCCGCTTCTACCTCCAAGCCTGGCAATGCATCAGGATTTTGCACCAGGGTCACTGGAGGGCATGATGAACGAAGCTTCTTGACGGGAGATGAAGAATCAAGAATGATGGCTTTGCCAATGGGTCGCCGCTTCAAGTTCCGGAACACCTGGTTCAATGGTTCACCTGCTCCTGCTTCACTTTGATGCGAATTTGGGACTCTGGCAACAAGCTTGCAAATTGTTGCCTTTCAATGGAGGCATTGTTGAATGAAGATGGACCGTGGATGGTGACAATGCGAGGAAGGGCTTCGCCCAACAAAAACTTGCTGCGCACTGAGACCAGACAGCATCATCATGGAAATTGGGAGGTAGAGTCTAGGTAGAGCGCGCGCATCAGGATCCTCCCTTTAGGCTTGGGGGATGGGCTTCCGTGCATCAATCAGGATGCCAGAGCTTCATCGATGATGCTGCCATCCAGCTTACTATTCTCTCCATTGAAGCTATCCACAAAGGCCGTACCGATGTTCGCTATGACCAGGCACGAGGGGAAGAAGCATTTGAAAGGCACAGAGAAACAAAATGCTGCATGAAGATAAGCCAGATGAGTTCCAACAAGTGTTGCTGTCGGATAGTAACTGAGATATTGTTTGCGCAGTATGGCAGACAATGAAAGCCAAATACAAAACCCAAGAGAAGCAATAATGTTCAAACTTGAGGCCGGGGGTAGATGATGAAAGCTAGCGGGGTAGGAGAAAGAAGGAAGGGAAGAGGTGAGTTGCGGAGGGACTGTCATCATCGTGTCGCGGCATTGTTCGTCCCAACGAGGATGCAACAATGATATATTGATATATGATATATAACAATGATATATATGGGGGAGGGGGCAGGGGGGGGGCCCTTTCGCGGGAAAAATCACGTGATGTCCTTGGGGAGCCCCGGAATACGTGCTAAAGCAAGAAGACTCTAGCGAGCTGACGCTAGCTGTCGTGATAATGACAATAATTGCCAATAATGATAAAATGTAATTGAATAACGATGATGATGATGATGATGATGATGAATGATGAATGATAATGATGATGATGAATGATGAATGATGAATGATGAATGATGAATGATGAATGATGATGATGAATGATGATGATGATGATGATGATGATGATGACGAGGACGAGGACGAGGACGATGGAGAGGACGATGACGATGATGATGACGATGATGATGACGATGATGATGATGATGACGATGATGATGATGATGATGATGATGATGATGATGGTGGTGATGGTGGTGATGGTGGTGAGAGGGGGGGGGGGGCCCTTTCGCGTGAAAAATCACGTGATGTCCTTGAGCAGCCCCCCCAATACTTGCTAAAGCAAGAAGACTCCAGCTAGCTGACGCTAGCTTTCGTGAAAAAGAAAGGCGAAAAGAAATCAAACAAACAAAGCAAACACGAATTGAAATACCTGTGTGATGCTCTTTTTTATCTCTAAAGCAAGTGGCATTTGGACTTTTTACTTCAATATATGAAGCTTGCCACAAATACTGTATTCGCAGGGAACCCACATTGACATGATAGTACGAAACCAGTGAGACAAGAAGTAGCGAGATTGATGTCGAACATGATACCCGTGTCCATTCTGACTTCGCACAGTTGTATGGCCTCTGCAAACTTCATCGGGCACTCTCAGGTGTCTGTGGTGAAAAATCCGGCTTTGTGGACATTAGCAATTCTGTTGGCGTTTGAGGCGGAGATCCCGGCGGTGTTTGTGGACCTATAGATGCAATATGAGGATGCAATATGAGGATGCAATATGAGCTGTTAGAGCATCACTTTCTGCAGCAAACAACAACTTTGATGGAGTTCTCAGTGCCGCCGGATCACGCTCAGCGCGCGTCTGCACAGCGAAGATGTCAAGCGAAGGAGAATACCCAGCAGATCTTGGTGATGCGTAGCTTGCGGATGAAAGGACTGCTTTGTTTGTAAAGTTTGCATCATGCTATTCGAAGACTGGCAACGTTGTCATTCAGATGTAGACAACTTAACGATGCTCAGAACCAGTGCGTAATATCGTCCGGCATGGCATTGTAATTGGCTTACTTTGTGATGAAACAGGCTGTGGAAAGGAATAGAGACCATAGTCTAGTTCACCTGATGAAAGC